ACATCAAGGGTAATTTTACCTGTTCTTCTGCCAATGTTATCTATGTCAGGGGTCCCCAACCCCTGGTCTACATCCCAGTGCTGGTTTGTGGCCTGGGCCAGACCTGGCCATGGAGACAGATCTCCCCCCCAGCCCCTGCATGCACTCCCGCCCCCTGCACAGGCCGTTTTTGCGCATGCGCGCAAGCACCACCTCACCCCTTCGCCAGTGTGCACGACTGCCCCCACCCTTTGTGCATGTGCATGAGTGATTGCGTGCATGCATTAACACACACCTGCTCCTATATGCACAAGCGCTGGGGGGTGCGCCACCTCCCCCAAGCAGTCCATGGAATTAAAAAGTTTGGGGACCACTGATCTATGTCATCTTTTGCCAACAATGCCCTTCTGCACTCTACATAGAACAAATGGAACAATCTCTGTGAAAAACAATTAATGGACACAAATCAGACAGCAGGAGTGGCAATACAGAGAAACCTGTTTCAAATCATTTTAATTTACCTGGACACTCTGCACAAGATCTGAAAGTTGTCATTCTGGACAAGAAATATTACAGGACAAAAATCCAGAGGGAGACAGCTGAGATAATATACATACGTTTAAAACCATCTCAATGAACTCAATGTAACCCAAGGTTTCTTAGGCCATTATCAGATGTAAAATATTGTGTTGCATCTGTTGTAATTCCCAGCTAAATTTCCTTGCTAACTCTCCACCTCACAAGCCCCACTGTGATTAGCGATACAGTACATGTACTCATTATCATGTTGTTCCTGCTTGTTATCTATAGCCTGGAATTAATTTAGTCACCAATCATTGTCATTGTTTACATAACAATGTTTCCTGGAAAGGGAACTGAATATCAACAGAGATCATAGGTCATTTCCAGGTGCAAAATGCTGCACTATTAACTATTTGTGCCAAAAATATATATTTTTTCTCTACTTGGGTCTATGTATAACAGCTCACATTAAAATTTAGCCCTTAGTCTTTAAGTTGTCACAACATTTTTGTCTTCCTTATTTTTCAATTTGTTTTCACCTAATCTGGTACCACAGACTAACCCTTTTTTTGGAGTTCCCTATTTCATACGACTACCAACATGAATTTGACCCAACTCCGGGAAGCAGTGGAAGACAGGAGGGCCTGGCGTGCTCTGGTCCATGGGGTCACAAAGAGTCGGGCACGACTAAACTAGCTGCACATTAAACCAGAAGCGACTTGGCAGCCACGCAACAACCAGCACGCCTGCACCCCACCGCACTCTACCTCCTGTCTGACGCGTGTTAAGTGTCGTCGGAAAGGGTAAAAATTAGAGGCACTCCATTTCTTGCGGAAAGATTTGGCCCCGCTGCTCGGAATAACCCAGTCTCACTGACCGGAAAGGGGCAATCCTGCCCCTCTGCCCTACCCATCCCGGGGAGCAAAAGGCAAAGCTGCCCCTTGCAGCAAAAACCCTCCGCCTCTGCCACACCGTCAGCACTTCGTAGGGTGGAATTCGCTGCCCTTTCCGAACCCCTCAAACCAGCGCCCGGGCGCAGCACCGCGCTCCTCCTCGTCCCTCCCCGGACAAACAGGCTCGCATCTTGCGGACTCCCCCCTCCGCCGAGCCCTCGTCCCGCCCCTCCTCCGGCTTTCCCATCCGGAGGCTTCGGCCATCTTGGGGAGGCGGAGAAACCGGCTTCGCTCCCTTGTCCTGCTCCGGAAGTGGCGGGTTGAGCGAGTGCGAC